TTAAACATAATACTACAATTTCAAATAAATTTATGTTAATTCTCATGAGTAACAGCTTTACTCCTTGTAAAAGCAGCTTATAAATAATAACTGTCACAACTTGTACAAATGTACTTCAAAGCTGTTTAGTATATCATTCATGTATTTTATTTATTTCATTCATGTATTTTATTTATTTCATTTATGTATTTTATTTATTTCATTCATTTTACTGCCTTGAGACTAGAAGCTTCTTAAAATAAAAGTGTTACTTTATAACTGGACAAAAAAAACTGTTAAACAGCAACTTCTGAGGTGGTTGCAAATTTGTTAAAATTAAATCATTGCAAGAGAGTGATGATGAAAGCTGGTTGTTTTTTAATTGCACTTTTACCAAATTACACTTTAGATAGTCATTGCAAAAATGTACTTTTTGGTAGAAATCCTATTAACAATATTATACTGTGGAATACATGTAACATACCATCTTTAAATGTGACGACACACACAATGATTGTATTTTAAACCATACTGATTTCAAATACTTTGTCATAGGGAAGTTCAACCACGGAACAATAAATATATCATAAACAAGGTGATATTAAAAAAAGTCTAAACTAATCCCACTATCATAAACAAGGTGATATGAAATAAGTCTAAACTAATCCAGTAGTCCCCACCACCTTAATCAAGCTTTTAAATGAGGTATTCCAAGATAAGCTCACAAATTTCTCTAAGTCGGTGACTTTATGGGACTGATCATTAAAAAATGGTGGTGGTGGGCAGTGCTGGAATTAGAACAAATGAGGCCCTGTGCTAATTAAGTTATGAGGTCCTTTACTTGGGCCTGAAGGAGGTAGGCTCAGTAGGCCTACACAGGTTGTCAGAGTATATACTCAGAATATTTAGGAGTAGTAAAAATAGCCACAGACTTTTGAAAAATTTATTGTAAATTTCTTTAAGGCCAAGATGGGCTTAAGCACACCTGAATATAAATCCGGTACTGGTTGTAGGGTGGGTGGGTTGGATTGGAGATTGGAAGGGGCCTAAGATTTGTTTAGCTTTCAATTAACTTTAAAAAAATATTCTTGCTTTGATTTATTGCAAAATAACATTGTTTTAACCATCAAGGTGTCACATGTAGAATTCTAAGAGTTGGTAACTAAGTGACTGAACATTCAAGAATTTAGAGGGTAGGGAGAGAAGCCCAGCAAGTGCACTAAAGTATCAAACTTGCAGTCCTGAAATTGTGATTTACATACTCTTTAAAATGAACTGTAATGTCTCCTATAACATCTCATTCAGTCCTCATTACAATATACCAACAATTTATGTGATTGTTTATCTGCCTGCAACTTGGAAGTTATACTACAGAAAAATATGGTATAACTTCCCAGTCGTCACATAGTAACATATATACTCTTTTACAAGTAAATTCCAACACAAACTACATAAACCCTGATCTACCATATGCTAATGCATCAGCTAATCAGGGTCAATGTTCTATTGATTACTACTAATTGTTCTATTCATTACTATTAACTTAACTGTATAGACCACTGGTGCTTTATGTGATGACAGATTTAGGTCTGTGCAGCTCAGCAGTTGGACTAGTCCTACCACAGGAGTCTGCAAATTTATCAATAAAGCACGACAAAATTTCTGACTACATGAAATCACATTAATGGTATTATATTATTTTATAACATCGTTAATGTGATTTCATGTAGTCAGAAATTTCGTCGTGCTTTATTGATAAAACTGCAGACTCCTGTGGCATGTTTTTGTTTTGGTGCTATGTCTTACTACCCTCATAATGGCCTTACATAGCCTTTTACGATGTCGTTGACATAGGAACGAGAAGTCAAGTTTCAGGAATATCTCACCCTTGGCAGCCTATATCGACACTCATCCACTAACTTATGTGCAATTAATATACTTACTGTTTTGTCTTCATCCTGGTGGAATCAAAATATGACACTAGTAAATGGACGCATTTTCATATTCCGTTGACATACATTTGAATTTGTTGCAATGCGACGGTAGTTGAGGTATGCCGAAGTATTTCAGTTAGGTTTTGGAGGCAGGGTACAGTTTCGTAATTTGGCCCCTGGCAAATTTCTTAACTTAAGGCTATGGTGTAACTTTTTCAGCAATTATTGTCTACTAATTAAATATATGGATATATTTGTGACTTAGGTGTTTCGGGCTTGTGTTGTTCTTGAAATTGATGTCAGGCATGTACACCTTCCATAGTTACTCTGCAATATGTTGATAGTTAAATACTAATAGTTGTCTATGAAGAAGAGCTAGCCTCTCGTAACAGTAAACATGTGGGTTTGGGACAAGGAGCATATCTCAAAAACGGCTTGGATGACAACTATTTTCAACTGCATCAGCCTGTTTAGTACACACTGTTTGGCAGAATTGTAATCTAGGAAAAGGGCTTGTGTTTGCACTGTGAGTACCACATGGTGTCAAAAATGACCTTCGGACATGAAAATCGCAGGTATAAATTTGGGGTTGGGGTGCATAAACTTCATCTGCTATGAACTGCCACTGACTTCTCTGGTCAAGTGGATAATATTTTTATGCTTTGTTTTAATATAGGTATCTCAAAATAAGGACATTCTTGACCTCACTTGTGTATTTGATTTTTTATGATTTTTTGTACTAGGTCACTGATTGCGGCATTAAATTTGTACATAACAACTGGCCCCTGCCCCCTTATGTGGAGGATATGTTTCTTGAGTGGCGCTCTACAGTTTCGTATTTAGCATAGTTCTATTCAGCATATTATATTTTTTTTTATTCATTTCATTAAAGAATTATATTTTAACCTTTCCCAATTTCGGCATTCCTGGCTTTCTTTGCATTCCAGCCAACTCCATTTCTTTGATGAGAATTTGAATTTATTGGCGAAAAGACATCAAGTTAATTCTGACAAAAATATTGTAACTCTAGAAAGGCGTCGTTATTGGTTGCCAGTTGTTTTTGATATTCCTGAAAATTTGACTTTCGTTACATTGTTAATCGACATCAAAACACGCTTCACAGCGCCATTAGTCAGACAGTAAGACCCATCACCCATCCAAAAGAAAAATATCTGGGTGATGGGGCTTACGTTGCAGGACTAAAGTTGACTTTGACAGGTAGTTATAAAAGTAGTAATAACAATTAAAATTCAATCCAGTACAAAAGTTTATATGTTAAAAGACGGACAGACACATAAATTATGTGAATTTATTTTTATTGATTAGAAAAGAAAGACCTCATCTACAGAGGCAGACTTGTATGACATTTGGTAATAATCTAGTCTGGAAAAAAATGAGTATGGGTTTTAGTGTGTGGGGAGTAACACGAGGTCCAATTTATACTTATAAAGAAACTTGGTGGGGATAGGGGTTTACTGGATTTGTAAACTCACCTATAATGTAAGAGTAGATGTGGGCACTGGAGTCTGCAGTTTTATCAATAAAGCACGACAAAATTTCTGACTACATGAAATCACCTTAACAGTATTATAAAATAATATTTTATAATACCATTATGGTGATTTCATGTAGTCAGAAATTTTGTTGTGCTTTATTGATAAAACTACAGACTCTTGTGATATGGGTCCCATTTCTCGTTATTTAATATTACCCAAAAAAAGACCTCTATATGCCGAATGAGAATAAAAACTTCAATCAACATTAGTATATGAAACATTGACATAATCATCATATTATTGTTGAAAACGGTTTAGTGCAAATAAATCTGAATGAAATTCATTAAAATCATACCTTTTAATAATTCATATTTTGCTACATTTCTCTATTAAGAAAAAACTTTCAGTACATTGTAATTAACAAAATACAATTAAAATATTCATTAAAATATCCTTAACTTATTGATCAACAAAAATGGTGCTAATGCCTACTAGTGGTAATTATTTATGAAATTCCAATTAAATACAATTTGTCGAGTTAAATTTGTGTTTCAGTTTTAACTCCTAATTCAGTTTATTAAGTGTAATGATCAGAAATATAATACTGTATGCCCTTTTGTATTCAAACATTAAGAGTGTAAATCAACCATCACAGTGATACAAATGTGCATTCATGTGAGAGCTTAATTACCTACAGAACATGTTATGATCTACCTGCTTATATGTTGGTTGCCTTACAGTCAATTAAAAGTTTACCTGCACTGTACTATAATGCTAATTAGTCTTCTGTATGAAATCAGGTAAAGGTGGTAGAATAAATGTTAAGGCATTCAGATCTACCCATGTAAGAGCTTGTGGTCTATATTTCAAGTTTGGTGTTAAATCATCTAATTTCACTAACTGTTTGAACATGGAGAATACTGTAAGTCAATACAACATAATTAAAATAACTAATATTAATCAATGGTTTATCAACAATAATAAAGAATCCAAGCCAAGATGCCATAGTTTGTAGATGAGAAGCAGTATTTTAAGTTCAGATTACCTACTAATCGTGTACAACATTTCAGTTCTGTAATATGTTACTTATGGATGATTTAAAATAATGGTACTACGTTTATAGATACTTTCCTATCATCTAAACTCTTTGCATATAAAGTTCTAACTGTTAAAAGTATATGCTCTTAAACAAAGTAACAGAAAAGAGTGAAGACAATGACCTTTTGTAAAATTTAGCAAAAAATATATTTCCCCAGATTGCAAAGTGAAAAATGATAAAAATAACATACAGTATTGTGACTTAAATCCAAAAATAATCCAAGAATTAAAGGCACAAGTCCTAGTACTTAAAAGTTATGAATAAAAGTCAGTTCAAGTCCGAAAGAGATCCAAAATTGAAGGCGATGACATCTCTGTTATGGCTTGCGATGTGCTGATGTGCTAATATTATTCCAGGTTTGAGTTCAGTATAAATTCAAATGAATGTCTTAATCCAAGAATTTTGTAAGAGCAGTTTTGTATTTCCACTTAAATTCAATAATGTTAAGAAATTAAAAATTATCATCACCACCATCAATCCCTTAACCATACTGCTCCAGTGGCCTAGTGGTTACAGCGTCTGCCTCAGATGTGGGAGATCTTAAGTTCGATCTTTGGCTGAGTCATACCAAATCCTTACAAAACTGGTACTAATAGCTGCCTTGCTTGTCACTCAGCATTAAGAGGTTATTGTCAAGATAATGCGACTGGATGGAACATCATGCTACATGTCTGCTGCATGATGCCCCAGTGCTATACATCATTATAAACTACCTCATTGCAGACATCATAGCAATATGACTGAAAAATTGTTAAAGCTATGTTAAAAATCCAAAATTACACACTCAACCCCTTAACCAGAGAGGTTGTTGGGGCACCATAGTACCACAGTTGACTTTACAACCTATTCTCTCCATCTTACCCTGTTCTCTACTGCCCTTTGGGAATCTCCAAATCCCATGCCAGTCTACTCCTTAATGTTATCTTCCTACCTCTTTTTGTGATTGTTTTTGCCAGTTCAGATGATCTTGAGACGTGACCATACGTCTTCAGTTTGAGCTTTTTTACAGTAAGTCAAGAGGTCTTCATAGGATCCAATGGTTCATTGGATCCTATTAAGGACTTCTTCATTGGTTACATGGGCAATGTACGAGATGCCCAAGATCTTGTGGCAGCATTTTATTTTGAAGGTTTGAATCCTGCTTTGTAGATCTGATGTTAGCACCCATGTTTCACAAGCAGAGAGAAAGATGGATATGACAATTGAGCACATCAGCCTTTTTTTGGAACCAAAAGCAATGATGGTATCTTTCCATATTGGTTTCAACCTTGTTACTGCTGCTGTCATCTGGGCAATCCTGCAAAGTAGTTCTGGTTTGGAACCCTCATCTGTGATAATTGATCCCAAGTACTTGAAGCTTGTGACTTCTTCTGTCCACTGACCTTTATTTCTGCACTGATGCCATTGGTGTTTTTTGTCAAAAGTGTGTGGTTTTTTTGTGCTAATCTCTATACCATATGCTGTGGAGATTGTGTTGAGGCACTCAACCAAGTCAGCCAGTTCTTTTTCATCTCCTGCCAAACCATCATATATCATCTGTGAACCAAAGGTTAGTGAGTGTTCTTCCTCCAATGCTGACAGTGTCCTCGTGGTCATGAAAGGCATTCTCCAAGATTCCAGGAAAATGTTGATGAGTGTAGGTGACAATATATATCCCTGTCTAACTCCAACTGTTGCTCAAAACCAATCTCTTCTGCCACCATTGATGAGAATAGCACTGATGGATTTGTCATTATAGTTGCCCATAATGCTGCATGTTAAAAGCCTTTTTAAAATCTTATTATAAAGACGTGGTATAGATTCTGCTGATGCTGAAGGTATTTTTTGCAAAGGTGTCTGAGATAGAAGATTCATTCTTTGGTGTTCCTTCCTGCTTGGAAGCTTGCCTGCTCTTCAGCAATAATTTTCTCTGCTTGAGGCTTTAGTCTGTGGAGAATAATCTTCAGCATGACTTTGCTTGGGTGACTGATCAAACTGATGGTTCTGTAGTTTTAGCATGTAGGTTTCCTTTTTTGGGCAGCATGATGACCAAGGACCGAATCCATGCGGTGGGCCATTCTCTTGCCTGCATTATCTTGTTGCAGATTGTTGTTATGACTGTGACTATCTCTTCTCCTCCTGCTGGTATGTTGTCAATGCTGGCTGACTTTTCTTTCTTTAGTGACCTAGCTGCAATTTCTACTCCTTCACAAAAATGGGGTTGTCATCAATTTCTTCTGCCTGAGGGTAATTTAGTACTGCAGAATCTCCTTGACTCTTATGACTGCACAATTATGAGCAGTAATCTGTCCATCACTTGAGGATCTCTTGATCTTCTGTGAGTCACTTTCCTGATTTGTCTTGGATAGTGGTACTTTTCCCTTGTTTATGGGTTGTGAGATTTTTCACCAGTTGATAAACCATTTTCCTGTCATTTCTATTCAGATTGTCTTTGATTTTGTGGTATTGTCTTTCTATCAGGGATTCTTTTGTCTTTTTCATGCTTTTCCTGATCATGTTTATCTCTGTATTTTCTAGGTCCTTTATGATCGATTTTTCCCTTTTTCAGTTCTCTTTTTCTGTAACATAGTTCAAGGAATCTGTTGTGACCTCTGTTGTGACCCAATGTTTCTTTATTTGAATGGTATTTGCCAATGATCTCACTAGCTGTGCTAGTCACAGCTGTGTTGAATGTGGCTACTATTAAGGACTCTAGGTCAGTCTTGGTTGCCCAGGGTTATCAAAGGTGCAAATTTACCACCTATCATTGCTTGGAAGGCTTCTGCAACTTTTGGATTTTTCAATATTTCAAGGTCAAACCTGATTATTGGTTGGTCAGGCTTTTTTTTAATCATCTTCATGTTGAGGCAAAATGTTGTCATTAATTTATAAAAAAAAATAAAATTCTGCCCAAAATGGTCACAACTTAATAAACCATAATAAAGTGCTAGATGTTAAAGCACCACTGGTAAAATCCTCACGGTCACAAGATAATATAGTTCTCTGCTTGATCTCAGGTCACAATTAGCATTTTCTAAAAACAACCTTTACCTAAGGGAAAATAACCTTCTAGAATGATAAAATGAGCCTTGTTTGTTAACAACACAATAGCCTACAAAATTATCTTAGGAATCTCCAAAACCCTGACCCTGATCAACATATTTACTTACTTTAATTACCTGAATAATAATCCTGATAATAAACTCATATAGATTGAGAATAATGAAGCTATTATTAGTTATTTACATATATGAAACAAAAAAAAATCAATCATGTCAAGCAGAAATGAATACAATGTTGGACAAGGTCATGTCCAGCAACCAATGTTATATTAGAATAACATGTAATGAAATTTAAAAAAAATTAAATATACATAACATAATCCAGACCAAAAACTGTCTTCAGCAAAATTCTAAATTATCAATTCAATTAAATATTATCAGGACAAATTTCTTGCTTAAGATCCACTCCTCTTATGTGAATCTCTAGTTACACTCTGTAAAAAATATAACATCCCTTTGATTTAACATGGGAGTTACCCAAGAAAATTTAAAATAGGGTATAGATTAGCATGTCGAGAGAGAGAGAAGTTAAAGTTTAATTTAGCTCCTTTGGTTGTTACAACTTGTATTTGTGCCACTGTACTTTTGATGAGCACAACATAAACAATACTGTAAAATGTCAATTACCTGGACACTACCCCCCCAAAAAAAACAACTGCATTTCTGATCAGTTGACTATCTCTGATTTTCATTGCCAACCCTAGCACATTTTTCCCCCAGTACAAAAAAAAATATTTTTAAAAAAATTGAGCCGCTTTAGCCCAGTAGTTGAAGCAATTAGTACATTAAATATATACTAATCATTATAATGTATATGTTTTTTAAAAAAAATACCTACCTACCCTAATTTTAAAACCAATGCAACAGAAAACACAGTGTTTGGGGGGGGGCCTTGCATAAACTACAGCTGTATCAATGTTGATAAACAATGAGTGCATTGTGTAGACACTGTCTACATACACAGATTACAGCTATATCATTCAGTGCATTGTATGTTGACAACTGCAAACAGAAGTATTTGCACAACAGAAATGGATGGAACAACATGACGAGAGTTGCTGCAAACATATTCAGGACAAAATTACCTAAAATAATGGGAAAATGAATACAAATGGTTAATTATGACACAAGAAGGGCTGTGACACTGTTCACTTTGTATCCTCAGTGTTTAGAGAAATATTTAAGTGCATAGTGCTTCATTTGTAATAGTTGGTAGTGAAATTCAGTTGTTACAGCTTTGAGTTGATGCTAATGGCTAATAAATGCTGAATTAATTGGCTTCTGATTTAAGCAGGATCTGTTCAAATTTTATTTTGGTGATCCTCTTGAGTTAGAAAGGAAAACAAATCCTAATACTGAGCTCTGAAAGAATAACCAGAAATCAGAAGAAAAAAAAAACTGAATATAATCTCATAATTTATAACTACCATAATATCACAAATGACTAATTCTAATTTCAGAATCAAAATATATGTAAAGAAAAAGAAGGCATATATCGAAATACAAAGATAGTTCACAGGTGGTTATGTATTCCATTCTATAAAAAGAAAGTTATATAGGTCATGTAGGCATTAAAAGCTGAATATTTCATTGACAGCTGTAAAAAAAATTTTTTTAGAATTTTATTCAACATACCTTTAAATATCAGTTATTGACTTTACTTGGATCCCCATATATATATATATATATATATATATATATATATATATATATATATATATATATATATATATATATATATATATATATATATATATATATATATTCCTTAGGATTGTTTCTATTTACACACACACACACTATGGCAAATCAATATTCATGTATTTGGGGCATTTTTGGACGAGATCAATTTATGGCGTGATCCAATACTATCCGAATTGAATTCGAGTGTTGTCAGGTCACAATAAAAGCTACGCACGTCGAAAAACAAATTTGCAGTATCCTAAACTGTGTGGGTTAAACTCGACGTGTTTATTTTCATGACCTAATTTTGTACCTTCCCACTATTATAAACATCTATAATTTTCGTCTGGAAGCTTATTGATGACAGTTGAAGTGCAGAAAATTAAATAACCGGGATTGAACAGACTTTGGTTAAACATAATAAGAATTACATTTTAAAACAATTTATATTTAATTTAAGACCAGTAAATAACCTATTAATAGGTACAGACACCGAATGTTACGGTATCTTCGCTAGCCACGGTTCAGATAATTAACGGAACCTTTTGCTAGCGAAGATGTTTGCGGGTAAGCAGCATAAATTTTTCAACTACGTTAGGACAACCATTTTAATAACGAATATTAATATTTTTGACATATCAATTTTTGGACTACTTTATAAAATTTAAAAATGGTCTATGATTATTATGATAAATATGTGCGACTACTGCGTCTATATATTGGTACAAATTATAGATAGCAAGAACTGGATAAAATCCCGATGATGGTGCTCATAGACAGAAGTTATTCGTCACATCATCCACGGTAGTCCGCTTTCAACTTACCTACAAAGTGAATTATT